TTTCAAATATGCATTACGTGAAAAATTCTTGTTTCAAATGCAATTTATGACTTTTATTTTAATTTTTATACACATGGAACTCCTCATAATAAAATAGTGAGATTATTTATACTATTATTCTCTATACATCCATGATCATAGATTTTTTTGTACTTAATAAAGAGTACGAGATAACCGTGGAGAAAGAAGAACATCTAGTGGAGTGGCTTTCATGTTTGTTAATCCAGCATTCACAGTCATATTGACCGATTCATGAGAAGGAGTTGACAGCTCAAATGCATGCAACAAATTAGCCAAGACTAAGTGTAACATGTGAAGGGAAAATGATATGCCAGGGCAAATTCTTCTACCGGCACCAAATGGGATCAATTCGAAATTCTGACCCTTAACATCGAAATCTTTATGAGTTGTAAGGAATCTCTCCGGTCTAAACTCCAATGGGTCAAACCATACTTGAGGGTCTCTATGTGTCTTCCACAAGTTTATGATTAGCCTAGTGCCTCTCGGAATATGGTAATCGGCCAGTTTGCAATCTTCGGTGAATTCTCTCGGGCTACCTAAGAATCCGGCAGGGTACAACCGTAATGTTTCTTTGACAATGGCTTGGAGATAGATTAGCTTGTCAATGTCTGATTCTTTTACTCGTCTTTCCTTTCCAATATGGATGTCTAATTCCTGTTGAACCTTTTTTAACACATGGCGGTTGTTCAATAACAAGGATACTGTCCATACTAGCATAACTGTGACTGTGTCACCTCCACCAGCAATTAAACTCTGGGAGTAAGATAAAAATTACTGTCAAATTATGTAACTTTTTTACTCAGAAGTTCAGAAGAGTAGTTGATCCAAATATGTTTAGAAATCAAAAGTTACTCAAAAGTAAATTTTACTTTTATCAAGAAATGCTCTTCAATCATTTAGCCTCATAATTCTTTTATATATAATTATGAAATGGTCTATGATAATTTCTTGATGGCTTAGGAATTTTAGAAACTCATATTACACCAACTTCCTCAGATTTTTTTTTCTAAACCAACAGAACAAGTTCAAAAAAATATCTAAACAAATTCAACAGTAACTTTCTTAGTCTCAAAAGAAACTTTTGGTTTTCTAAAAACACTGCCAAACTGGCTCTTTGATTTCTTGGAGATCAAGAATTCTTGGATCAATTTTCAAGTAGTCCATGTACAACGTGAAGAAAGAAGAACACATCAACTTGTGAAAGGTAGTATCAAACCAAGAAATGAGAAAAAAAAAAAA